GAGCAGAAGAGCTGCGCGAGGATCTAGAGGCGGAGAGGCAGAAGAGGGGAGCGGCGCAGGAAAGGGAGAGAGCTATGAATGGACTGCATAGTTCTCAACTGGACATGCTCTTGGCGAAACTGGACGAAGTCGTTGTCTAGGACGAAGTTTGGAAGTTTCGGACGCCAGAATCGGACCTCTGTTTTTTCTACATCATTCGAGAAGATACTTCTCTTCCTCCTCGTCCGGACAGATTGCACTGATGCATATCATACATATTATGAGGATCTGACACACGAGTGCAAATCCGACTAGCACGACTATGACGTTATCCATGACGAGGATATAGTATACTCCCAGGGAATTTTTGGGCTACTCTCCAAATGCGTGCATGCATGTTTGGGCATTGGCATTCGGACGTTCGAGCGGAATGAATCGAGGTATATCCTGTCCGGGTTTCCGTTCATGTGTCCAGGTGCCCTCCTTCGAAGAGCAAGAGCAATTCCAGGGTTTCCGAGTAGTATCCTTTTGCTTTGACCTCACTCTCTGTACTCTGGTTCTCGAACAACACTCTCAGATCTTCCAAGTATAGCTGCTGGAGATATTCTTCCACTTCGACTCGACTCTGTTCGTATTCCTTACAAAATGTCGCGAGATCCTTTTTGTGCAGGGTCATCATGCTGACGAACGCATCGAGCGTCCGGGAGTCCGGGAAGAAGTCCTTTGCTATCTCTGAGTAGGGTCTCTGATCTTCTTCGCCGTCCGAGTCTTCGCCGTCCGAGTCTTCGGAATTAGACTCGTCTTCGGAGTCGTCACCCTTAGGTGCGTCCTCGTACGAACACCTCAGCTTGGATATGAGGAAGTCTCCCCACCATTTGCTCACGATCATACAGTATAACATGTTCAGAGCTGTGGTCTTTGACATCACATCCACATCGTCAACAGAGACGTTTACCGACAATTCCTTCAACTCGTCGAACTTTAGAGAGGAAAAGTGTTCCTCCCCATACCAGCGTACTTCGGTGGGTATGGTCGCATCTTGGTACGTGTCATAAAAGCTCAGACCATACGCGTAATCCGCGAAAGCTCCGCGTCTGGGCAGCACCAAGATCTCGCGCTCGAGCAGTCGCTTCTGGTCGCATATCCAACGATAGAGCAATTTGACCTCCCTTCTCTTGGCGCGATCGCTGATGTCCTTTGCGATTTCGATTGGCAACTTGGCGTACACTTCCCTTTGTGAGATGGTAGGCTCCATCGTTTGAAATGGTTGGTCGATTTTCGCATCCTGCCTATATAGGGTCCGAGCCGCGCTTTCGGACGCCAGCTTCGGACGGTTTCTCTCTCCACGTGGCATCTAGAACTTACAGGACTGTTTCGGACGCCAGCTTCGGACGGTTTCTCTTTCCACGTGGCATCTAGACTTCGAGTTTCGGACGCCACGATTTGCCTATATAAGGAGGATCTCATGGGCCATTCTACCATCATTCCGACTAGACACGAGATGGCCAAACGCAAGTACACTCTACAGATAGCCGATGGCATGAGCGTGGATATCAACATCGAGCGCAAACGAACCGAGGGGAACGTGAGGGTCTACACGGCCGCGGAGGCGATACAGGAGAAGGAGAGGAAGGCGGCGGAAAGGGAGCGAGTTCGCGAAGAGAAGAAGGCAAGGCTCTTGAAAGAGCGCAAGGCGAAGGAAGATGAGAGGAACGAGAAGAAAATCGCTGAGATCCTGGCATTGGCTGACGAGACCCGGCAGATGATTCGTGAGATGAGAGAAGTGGTCGAGCAGATCGATTCGGAAGAAGTTCTCCTGAAGGACAAAGTCGCCGGTCTGTTCAAACTCATGAGGTGCGCTATGTACGAGTCGGACGAGATCGAAGTGGAAGAGGTTCCCGAGTTTCTGGATAGGTGCACGCTGTGCGGAACGGCCAAATCCCTGCACGAAGTCTTTCTCGCCTTGGACGATGAGCTGCATCCGGCGTGGATGTGCCTATCTTGTCGGACCGGGCTGGCTCGATCAGTGGCCTTTGATGAAAGGCTGACGATGGTGAGGCAGGAGAGACGGAGGATCCTGGAAGAACTCATGGGAAGAGACGATCCTCTACTCAAGGGCATTTACCTGACCTTTTCGGAGATATTCGACAAGATGCAAGAGAACAGCCGGAGAATGACTGCAGCCGAAGAGGCAGAGGAGAAAAAGGTGGACGCGAGGGTTTCTCAGTTGGCCAAGTGGGACAAGGTGGAAAGCAAACTACCGACATATGAGTCGCTCAAGGCGTTATCTACCCTTACTGAGCAGCTTCCAAAGATGAGAAACCAGCTCGAACCAGTGGAATCCACATACATGCAATTTTTCTCCGAGAAGTACGAAGACAAGCTCATTAAGAAGAGCGTTGCCAATCGTATCTCGGCCAGCAAGAGGAGGTGCGACGTCGTCGGTAGGACGCCGCAACTTTTGACCGAGGAGGAAGCGATGGTTGCCTGGTTGCGTCAGGAGCGCAGATGCTCGATCTGTGACATGGGTTGCGACTGGAACATACTGCGTGGAGGGTGGGGCAGCTTTCCACAAATCGACCGAACGGACGTTGCAGTGGAATCTTATGTGGGAAACTTCTCCTGGGTATGTGGTCGTTGCAACAGGCTGAAAGGTTACTTCGTTGAACTCATAAGATACGATGAACTTGCAGTCGAGACTCTGCGCAGAATCGAAGAGAACGGAGGGGAGACATTAGGAGACGACCTCGCAGGGATGGTCCTGAGGGAGATAGAGAGACAGTCGATGAGGGAGACATACGTAAATGCAGTTGCTAAGGAGAGGAAGAGGGCTAGGGAGAGGTCTGCGACGGGAAATCCTAATCCCTCATGAGAAGATTTATTTTCTAATATGTATTTGACACGTGCTCCTAACTATTCGCACATGGTGGCAGCGGTGCCGAACAAGGGCTCC